TAGTTCATAACATCCTATGCTATACCCAAAGGTTGGCATTACGTGAAGTATGTGTGTGTTCGTCCTTTATTTAGCTGTACCATGCTGAACATGACTCTTTGTAGTCCACAGGGTAATTGGTAGGCATGGCCTGCAAGGGATTTTGCTGCCTAACAAGATTTATTGTTTGAAGGAGCCTTTTGGAAAAGAGGCACTTCACTATTTGTTTTGTGACCTACCTCTTTATATCTTTTGTGTATTTTTTTATTATATTTTTTAAAAAGATGTCAATTTTAAAGATTCTTTATGTGGTATATATAGTATTCCTTTATACTGGCATTATAAATGTCTATTCTAAGAGCTATATTGTATGATTTTGTGCCATACAATTTTTTTTCCTTTGTATGGAACAATTATGTCAGAGTTAAGTTGTACATACATACTCTGCCTTCTCCCCCTCAAAAAAACCCTTACATATATATATATATATTTTTAAAAATTGCATTGCTATCCAGTTGCAGTTGATCCAGCTGACTATCCACTGAGTTTTCAGAGGCTAGAAATCACAAAGGAGGAAATTGCCCAACTTCCTCCTACTGAGCAGCTGATAAATTAGAACCATATACATTTGGGTTATCAGCACATATACTTACCCATTAAGCCACGAGTGCTCAAAAGAATAAATCCTTTATTTTCAGGGGGAAATTGGTCTTTGGGAGTTTTGAGAGGATATTAATTTACTCTCCCCCCCTATGTTAATAGTTCTCTAGTTGAGTATTTATATATTTTTTTTACCTTGAGTCTATTCCACCTGAATTTTTTTTAATATTTTTTGAAAATAATTTTAATGAACATTTACAGAGATTTTGGATTTCCATTCATTCATTGCTGCACTTCTCTCCCCGCCCAGCCCTTCCCCTGCTCCCCCCAGTTCGCTCCTCTCTTTCAAAAGTAAAAGAAACACTCCTTCCCTGGTACACAGTCCCCTCTCACCGCCCCAAGTACATTCCACTGTTGTTGTTTATGAGTCGTAGACAACTCATAGCGACCCTATGAACGAACAGCCTGAGCACTGTTCGTACATAGAGTTTCCGGAGGCAAGCCATTTTGAAAGTGGATGCCCTTCCAGGCTTGAATTAGTTGGGAAGCTCCAGCCAACACTGTCCACCATGGGTGCCCATTACCACGATTGGCATATCACTGTCACAGGCTTCAGCATCACAGCAACCACGAGTTATCCCTGTACAGCAACGCACAGACCAGTGCTATACTATCTAGAAGAATGTTTGACAGGAAGATAATTTGAACTATGCAACCTTAATTGTGGACTCTTGTGATAACCATAATAACCCTATCATACATCTCTTTTAAATTATTCACTCCCTCATCTGTTTCAGTGCAGTATAGTTGAGTATTTTTATAGTACCTAAATTGTCTTGCTAATATAAAAATGAAGTTGAGAATAACTGTTAGACTATCGATAATAATGTAATGACTTGCTTTATTATATTTGTGTCATTGTGAAGCTCTCATCCTATGTAAATATGTATTTTATTATCTAAATTTGTATATGGGAAATCAGAGATAAATGAATATAAGAATATGTAAGAGAAGACTCAGATTAACAAATAATAAGTGAAAAAAATTAGGACTCATGGCATTGATGAGTGTTTTTTCCATTTACTGGAATTTTCTAACTCTTATTCTTAATAAAAAGCACTCGGTGAGTACGGAAAGTCTGTGAAACATGTGTAAAATAGTGCATAGCGTGGTTTGGCTGCAGGATTATGGTGCTTAGAGAGTAGAGTGGAATAGTGAGGACAAATTGGGCAAGCAATGAGGAACTTTCAACTCTTTTGAACAATGTAATCTGTAATCAAACTTGTGGTTTTAAATAGTTAGATATAGAAATGAATAGTTAAAAAAATAAAGTAGAATTCCACTTGAGAATTAATATGACTTATAGAAAAGAATTAAAAACTGAAAAACGGGAAATGAATTGAAGGCTATTGTAGAACTTGACACCCAAAACTTGATGGCTTAAGAGGGAGAAGAGGAGTAGTCAAGGTGAGTGTATGTGTTCAGAAGCATGAATGGGAGCACAGCCAAGGGTGGTCTCCAAAGCCCCTCAAGGCAACCCATACATGCAACAGGCTGCTAACACTACTAAGGAGTTGCTGTTTGCAGCCATTGCACACCAGCCCCCACAGAAAATATTGAAGAGAAAAAATATGATATACTCATTTGATAATTTTTTTTTATTTTGAATTAATATGTTTTTTATGTCACAGGGAATCTAGGTGGAGAAGATATGACTACTGGGCAAATTATAGATGGAAAGAAGAGTATATGCTAGGGTTACAAACCTCCACAGAAAAATTAGAGGAAATAATTTCTGTCAGTTCACATTTCTTCCTTATAGGTACTTTTACTGCCTTGAATTCCTGTAATCTCAAAAGTACTTGATGAGTATATAACAAAATGCATCTAAGAGGCTGTTGTGCCTTTGAGCTGGACAAGTTAGGAGAGGAACACTTAAGCACTCAGAATAGCAAGACCTTAATACAGCATTATGTATTGATGGTATAATAGGTTGGTAGAAATTCTGGCCATTTGGAAAAGCAGTTTTAGTTAGATGTGAGTGAAGGTGTTTTTGCTAACTTTTTATATATGTTTTTGGTTTTGTTTTTTTTTGTTTTTTTTTTTGGTTTTGGGGGTTTGTTTGGGTTTTTTTTGTGAGTCAACGACTCCATGCCGCCTTGAGGTGAGTGCGCATCCCACCGCCCCTATATATGTTGTTGTGGTATTGGCTTTTTAGCCATTACCTTAGCCACCTCTAGTCTCCAGCTACCTTAACTGCAGACACATGATTTTGCAAATCATCAACGGCTGTGAGACTAGGATAAGAGAGAAAAAGAGTGAGAGCTTCCCACACTGGGCAGCAAGACTTGAGGGAGACTAGAGAAAGACCCCGTTGAGAGTAGGACCCTGGTGATGGTTGTAGAGACTTTGGTATTCATATGAAGAAACTGTGCCAAGTACAATTAGAGAAACCTTGAGATAAAGGCCACAGTTAAAGGATTTTGCTGTTCTTGCTGGATGCTTAAGGAGAAGCTGACTTAAACTGCTCTGAGGCAAACCTTGCCAGATAATTGAGTAAACCAGAGGCTTGAATTTATGTTGCTGAAGTGAAGTTAGGTCATTTACTAATTAAGAAATTGTGTTTTGCTGTTAATCTGTCTTGGGACTGCTGAACTAAAACTTGGATTTGAATTGGGTGATCTTCTCTGACTCTCCACTCTCCAACTTACTTCCCTGATAAACCTCACCCACTCTTACTCTCTACCCCTCTATGGGTAAAATCTATGAGTCAACAATGAATAAACCTCTTGCTGCTGGTGTGGCTCGAGAAGCACCATAGGGCTGGGCTACGGGCTTTTCATCTGCTTTCTGCTCTGTGACAGTGAGGGGCTGTGCTATTTTCATTCCCTCTGGCCCTTTCAGAAAGACTCTCAGGGCCCCTGTGCCTCCATATCCCATTTTCTCTTCTTAGGCAGTTGTCTTCTATAATCCTCAAAAAGCCTGTGGAGTAGGGTTTATCATCCTAATTTCAAGCATAATGTACTGTACTTTGTTGTATATTCCTAGTGAGACTTGTCAAGTAGAAATGTTAGACTTGTGCTGACGCAAATTTTTTAGTTCCTTGCCTTCATATGATAAACAGTGCTTCAGATCTTAAAATGTAATTCATTTATTCTGATTGTGGGTGACCTTGCCTGCAGAGAGAAAGCATGTGTATAAAACATACAGTCTCCTTGTCAAATAAGCAGACTTCCTGGAATGTTGATAAGTGATGATGTCACTGTATTGTGGTGTGTCAAAGAACTTTATTTAGAAAGAGTTAAGAGTTTGGAGGAGGAAGAAATGCTGTGGATATATACATTATCCACAGCACCCTACTCCCAGTTAGCTGTAAATTGTCATTGCTTATGACATTAGCAGAAGAGCCACAATGTAAATCCAGTTTTCATTATTTGAAATAGGTACAAACAGGATTGTCTAGTTTTAGAAACAAAGGAAAATTTAACTTCTACCATGAAATATCCTATGATTTTCAAGCTAGGGTAGAAATGATGTTTATTTTTTCATCTTTAGTTTTATATTTGCATATAACTTAACAAAATTGTAAGTGGGAAGCAAATGTCTTCTCAAAACTATAGCATAGTGTGAAATACAGAACAGTGTCATTTTTGTAAGATTGAAAATGGATGAAATTGTCTTTATTTTTCCCTTAAAAATCTGATTTTAAAAATTTGCTGTATTTTTGCCATCTTTCTTAATATTGCAGGAGATTTAGTGTAGCTACTTTGAAAAAAAAATTACAGCTTTATCTGCCCTTCCCTATAGTGTCCGTATGAAATTGAATCAACCCTATGGTAATGGATTTAATTTCAGTTTTATTAATAGTGACCAATATCTGGTGAATGATGAGACAGAAAAGTTAAATCTGAATGTTAATCTTTATAGTTAGAACTTATTATAGTAGAATTCTTCAGTTGACATATACTGTTTATACATGTTTCAGTCTTTGATACTACTTTCTATTCTGTGGCAAAATCCAGCAAGAAAATAGACGTTTCTCTTGTTTGGCAGTAAGTCTCAGTTTAACTTGTGCCAGTGCTATTCTGTTACTACCCTTTCTGCTAACAGTCTGAAATCTGCTCATCTGCTAAAAGGAAGTTTTAGAAAGAAAAGTAAACATAGCAACGTTGCACTGTAGGCATCTTAAGTCACTCCATGTCTTTCCCCCACAACCCCTGCCCCTAGTCCACAAATCTGGGAGCACTTCTCTGATAATACATTCTAATGAGCTGCTGAAGATGCCAGTGTGTATATACATGAGTTTTCTTTCCCCTCCCCCTTCTTCCTTTTCCAAAACCCTGTCTTCACTCTCTTTCCCCTCCTACTCCTTATCCCCTCCCTCTCTGTCTCAGTTCTGCAGTCATCGGAGCTGAAGCACATTCCTGCTTTTCAAGGCTTTCTGTTAAAGATGTGTTGTGGCTTTTGTTTGGATTACAGCGTACACAATTACAGGTAACACATTGAAATTTAGCTAAACAGACAAATCCTCTTATAATATTTTTAGAGAGGCAAAATGTTACATATAATCAATGAAATTAAGCTATCTTGGTGAATTTTATTAGTGATAATTAGTGTGAAATGTTTTCACAAATATTGAGGTAATAAAAAAAAAGAAAGCATTTTCTCTCTCCACCCCTCCCCTTCAAGTGGCTAAAATAAAAGGGGTAGGAATGGATCATTTGACTGAGATTGATTTCGTTTTATGTTTATTTTGAAAATTTGATGGTGCTTTGCCTCCTTGGTGGAGTGAGGACCAATGATGTGGAATACCACATGGGATAGTCATGGGTATCTGGTGGGAAGGGTGCTGCCAGCCTGAACTAGCCGGGGGTTTTTTATTTTTGTTTGGTTTTATTTTTTTATTAGCGTGTTAGATACAAAGTGTAAAATGCTCTCTCCTTTTCTTCTATCAGCTCTTTAGAGGATATTCATTACAACTCCTGCTGAAGCTCCTAATCTTCCTCCCTTCTCTTCTGCCCCTTCCTTCTGCCCTCACTTGGTCTGAAGACATTATCCCCAGAGTTTGCCTTACTTCCCTGTTGCTGTATGTTTGGTGAACCTACCACTCTGGCCACATCTGGGACTGGCCAGACAACTGCTGCTGGCTCTCACTATTCCAAGAAGGATTTAAAGGGAAATTGTACTGCAGGCAATGCACCAGAGCAGCAGCATCAGGAGCACAGGGACTAAAGCTCCTCTGATATATTACACACATACAAAGCTGACCGCCATGACAGCAGCTGCTACTTTGAACTGCTGGCAGCAGCCAAGCGGCAGCATGAAGTGAAAGATCACTCCTGAGCTCAAGATGAACTTCACCTTGGATGGTAATCAGAGCATCCGCCCCTTTTGCCTCTTGACATTTGATTCTTTGGAAACTGGCAGTTTTTGCTTTTTAGAAGTGTTGATTATCGTCTTTCTAACCATATTGATTATTTTTGGTAATATCATTGTGATTTTTGTATTTCACTGCTCACCTTTGTTGAACCACCATACTACAAGTTATTTTATACAAACCATGGCTTATGCTGACCTTTTGGTCGGGGTTAGCTGCCTAGTCCCTTCTTTGTCACTCCTCTATTTCCCACTTCCAGTAGAAGAGTCCTTGACTTGTCAGGTATTTGGTTTTGTAGTATCAGTTCTAAAGAGTGTCTCAATGGCCTGCCTGGCGTGCATCAGCATTGACAGATACATTGCTGTCACAAGACCTTTAACCTATAATACCCTGATCACCCCTTGGAGACTGCGCCTGTGTATATTACTGATTTGGCTGTACTCCACCCTGGTATTCCTGCCAGCCTTTTTCCACTGGGGCAAACCTGGCTATCACGGAGATGTATTTCATTGGTGTGCGGAGTCCTGGCATACCAACCCCAGCTTCACTCTGTTCATCGTGATGATGTTATATGCCCCAGCAGCCCTCATTATGTGCTTCACCTATTTTAAAATCTTCCGCATATGCCGTCAGCACACGAAGGAAATCAGTGAAAGGCAAGCCCGCTTTGGGAGCCAGAGTGGAAAGGCTGAGGAAGTGCAATCTTGTCCTGATAAGCGCTATGCCACAGTTTTGTTCCGAATCACTAGTGTGTTTTATGTCCTCTGGTTGCCATATATAATCTACTTCTTGTTGGAGAGCTCAACTGACTACAGCAACCGCTTCGCATCCTTCTTGACCACCTGGCTCGCGATTAGTAACAGTTTCTGCAACTGTGTTATTTATAGTCTCTCCAACAGTGTCTTCCAAAAGGGATTAAGGCACCTCTCAGAGGCCGTGTGTACTTCTTGTGTGAGTCAAACCATACCTAAAGACTCGACTGTAGTTAGGGGCAAAGGCTCCCCTAATGGATGCCAGGTCTAAAATGACCCAAAGGATGGGTCACTCGTGTGTGTGTGTGTGTTCTGAAAAGTTGCAGCATTTATAAAAAGTCATTTCTTTGACTTTCTGTGTTCTTTCTGACTGTTTGGACTTATGTGCAGTTGATTATTTTAACTGGAAATATTACAGTACAGTAATGATTTTATATAGATAATAAAGTCCAAAGTGTGTGTGTGTGTGTGTGTGTGTGTGTAAGCCTGTCAGCACTGCCACTTAGAAAGCCAAATATTTTTATTCTCTTAATCGAAATCCCCATAGGTTGAATGTGAATATTTAAAACTTTCAGAATGTTACAACAAACCGTGAAGTGGAAATAATTCAGATCATGTTGTTTATGTATAACTGAGCTTCCCTTTGTGCTCAGTTTCACAGAGACCTAAAGAAATGTTTTCCCAGAAGTGACTCTGCTGTCTTCAGTATTTGTGCCCATGCCTTTGTGTATGCATAATTTGAGAATATTTGAACTTTGTTGGAATTCTCTTTTAAAACAAAATGAGTCATAATAAAAAAAAATAAAAAATTAAATTATAAGACTGATGGCTGCCATTTTTATAATGGTAAAAACCAAAATGTAGAGTATCTTTTTTCTGCACAAAATTTAAATAGAGTAAATGGAAGTATTTTTGTGATTAAATAAAATCAATGTAGTAGCAGCTACTGCTTTTTGAAAATAATTTTTTAAAGTTAGTTAAAGAAATACATATCTGAGGGGGAAAAGAAGACTTAACACTTAGTCTGTGTTTATTTTTTTCCTGTTCTCCTGGCTGAGGTTTGTTTTTCAAAAAGGAGAGAAAGCCTCCCCAGCAGCTTCAGGCAAGAGACTCTATACTTGCTGCAGGTTTTGTTTTTTGTAAATTTTCAGGGTACTTACTTGATTTTTGCCCTTGGCTATCTATTCTAATCTGAATGTGACATTGGTCTTCAGTGAGATGGAATATGAAAGAAACCCAAATGACATGATTTTCTGAATCCAAGAAAAGACATAATATTTATATAACTCCCAGATATGCCTTTGATTTTCCATCATGTATTAGAGTCTTCCCTCCACCCTTTTGAATGAAGAACTGAGTCTTATGTTTTTAGATTTTAGGCAGTCTTATATTAATTTCACATATATACTATTTAAATTTTTCACATTTAAATGAATAAATCTTATTTAAACACTCACACTCCAAATTCTGGGCTCTTTTCAAAAGGTTACTTACTCTTTATTTAGTAATAGAAAATTTGATTCTGGGCTATTTCAAAATTTGTAAGTACTAAAAGTGTATTTGTATTTTAAGTGGAAAATTATTTGCTGGATTCTGAAAAATATTTGTAAGTGCTTTATCTTAGGCGATAAATACCTTAGAAACAAAATTTACCTTTTTCATAGATATTCTAATAATTGTTTACAATTTTTGAAACTTGCTTAGCATAATATGAGCTCTTTAAAGATGTCAATTTTTATAGAAAATTGATATTAAATAAATGGGATTTATATTCCTTTTGTCCCTCCATTCTTTTTTCATATTTATTAGGATAGAACGAGAAAATGTTCTGATTTTTCTTGAAATAGCTAATCAAGCTGGTTCTTTAATGACTGGAAAGATGAGGTCTCTTAAATACTTTTGTGTATAGATTTTCTACATTTTCTTTGGACCAGATTCAGAGTTTAGTAGAAGTATTTTCCACATTGAAATCTCTGTGAATGTTGCCATGTAAAATCAAAGTAGAAACTAAAGAGATTCAGTGATTTTTTTTCTTTTACAAAAATAAAGATGCTCTTGTCCCTCCCCAAACTGACACTTGTTCTTAATATCATCGTTCTTTCTAGTGTGTCTTGTCTTCATTGTGCTATATAAACTCTAAGATTTCTCTCATGTATCAAATTCTGTTATTTTCAAAATGGCATTTTCTTGGGGGATAGGGAGGTATTGAATGTGTGTGCGTGAACATGTGTCTTAAAAATTAAGGCGTCCTGATCAGTCACACAGTCTTTAAGTGACTTGAGGCTGTTTCTTTCTGATGTATTGGATAGATTGTGTTCTCTTTTTAAGTAATACTTAAATTCTGTCAAATTGGCTTAAATACTAATTTGACCTGTTCAGGATGGGGGTGGAGGAGAATGTATTTTAGACTCAGTTACCTTAGATTTTGTCAGGCCAGCACATTTAACTTTATATGGTATATGACTGATGTCTAAACAGATATCAACGTGTGGTGATGTGGTTGAAATTATTTCATACCAAATTTTGAAATAAGGTTGTATTAGTTAAATTAATAAGTTGTATGGTTTTAATATAGTCATCACAATGAAGGTGTGTTTTTCTTTAAGGAACAAATGTTTCTATCAGAGTGAAAATTTTAATTTATTTATAGACCTGTTGACTCTTAGCAAAATTCCATTTGGGAAGTATTTTTCTTTTTTTAAGGTTTGTTGCTAGGTAATTATTTTTGAGCTTTTTATAAAGGGTATTATTTTAACTTGAATAATGGTCTCACCATTTTAAGAATTAAGAACTTGAATTTGTGTAATATAAATGCATTGGCCACATCTTTGAACTTGACAATGAAGCAGCAAAGATAAAGACTTAATGGAGATTTGATTGAAAATGTGCACAGTAATTTTGTAGGAATATTTTGCTTTTACCATGCGTCTTTGTGCACAGTAATTTTGTAGGAATATTTTGCTTTTACCATGCGTCTATGTATCATACATTTGATTAATAAGTTAGTAAATCAAAGTTTGTTATGTGAGCAGGTTTGGGATAGTACAAGGACAGAATTGTGACAGGGAGATTTTTTTGATGTCTTCATAAATTTATGTAGTTAGTGATATATTTTGCATCTGAAGTTTTAAGAAAAAGTGAGTGTATATATGGAGTCTATATTATAGTAATATATTTTGCAGATCAAGATAATACCTGAGCTATTTCTTTGGCTGTAAATGACTATTTTGACTTTTTAAAAAAACACAGATAACCAAAGAGAAACATTTGGTGATTATTTGAGTTGAGAATAAAAAATACCTGGTCTAGGTGGTTTGAGTCCACCAGTTGTTTGACTGAGAAGATGGACACCCTCCTCCTGTGAGAGTTACAGCCTCTGAAGGGTCAGCTTTGAGTCAGTTCTGATAGGACAGCACATAGCAACAATAGTTTTGTAATTAGGGCAAGTCGGTTTCCTAAGTACTTAATTTTTTTTCTGTAATAAGTAATGATTTTTTCATGTCTCTTAAGATTACATTGAGGATTAAGTTTAAATCATAGTAGTGAAAGTACTTTGTAAATTTTAAAGTGCTATGCAAATAAAAATAATTCTACTTACTTGTTCTGTGATGTTTTTACATGTAAGGAAGCTATCCATTGTGATGTAGTACTCACCACGTGAAGATCTTTAAAACTCAGTATTTAGTAGTTCCAGATTTGAGAAGCAGGATAAATCATCACCTAATTAAAAATTTTAGTTGTCTTGCAAACCTAAAACTCACTTATTTTCTTTAAGATGATTTTATATGTCATTGCTCTTTCTCTTTTATCATGGATGTTATATTATGATTTAATACTCAAAGGGTAGCATAATTTCTTTGTTTTAAAATAACATCTAAGAGAGCAGCTCAGCTCAATTTGCATATAGTACCTATAAACTGTCTATGTGGAAAAGCAAGATTTTATGAAAATATCTATAAAAATTAACAGTCATATAATTAGGGATATAAGATTTGGAATCATATATAGTGGAAAGATTCTAGAAAGAAGCATTTGAGCTAGCAAGATTTTCAGAAGATATTTTATCTAAATCTCTTTATTTTACAGTCAGGGATCACTAGCTTGACATCTGTTTATAATAAAACCTCCACGATACTTTGCCCTTCTCACACTGCCTTTGAATGGAGGTTGGAATTCTACACAATAAGAAACATTTTGAGTTTATTATAAATATTAATTGAGCCTTTTTTATCTCAGGAGAATTCTATAAACACTGTTTTACTTAATCTTTTCTGTTTATGAGAGTAATTAGTTGTTATATTAATGAGGAAACTGAGGAATAGAGTTGCTAGAATTACTTAGGGAATAAGTGGATTCAAATCTAGGCCTTTCTGACCCCAAAGCTGACATTTTTCATTCCTACAGCAATCTCAAGTGTTTTTTTTTATTGGGAAAAACATATTGGGGGTACAAGGAGGTGAGGGTTGGGGGCAGAAGGGTGAGGATGGGCCAGGATGCAGTTGCCGAGCTGCAGAGTTTGGTCAGTGGGGGGGAGCAGGTGAAGGAAATGATGAGGCTCCAGTGGGGACCAGATGCTACAGAGGAATGACAAGCATTTTCCAATGGTAATTAAACCAACTCTCTTATTGATTTGGGAATTGGATGCCAACTCTGGCTTCTTCATGCTGAACAGGGGCGTAGATGTAAAGGGGGGAAGGGAGGACGCTTTATCACCTTACTGGTGGTCTTGGGTTAAAGCTGCTTGCCTTCTTGCTCTGTTAGAAGATATTTTCC